ATTAACTTGGTTTTTTTAGTACCACAAAAAAATTTTAAAAATCCAAATACAAAATTTATTAGTAGAAAATAAGAGTATTAGCAACTAATATAGTTCTTGTAGGAAGGGAGGTACACAAGTCTCTCATGGATTTTAGAACCTTAGATGTAGGTAGGAGGATAAGACTAAGGCCTCATGGCCTCTTTTAGATATTTGTACATACTACTTGTGAGCCATAGTGAGTCTTAAACCTTTGATTTCTTAAGCAAGTTATTTTTGAGAAAAAAATTCTTTATTTAATTTTTTATAATATAATTTCTATTTTTAAACCTACATAACTCTCATATAATAACTTGAATTTTCATATCTTACATCATTGAAAAGATAATAGAAATATCTATTTAGAAATTTATTTTTTAGATTTTACTTTTAATTTTTTACTAGATAGAAATTTAAAGAATAGATTGTGATTAGTATTTTAATGTACAATTGCTTGATTGCAATTCTCTCACTTGTTTTGTATTATTTTTCTTTTTCTTTTTTCTTTTTTCTTTTTGTCTTTATAAGTATTTAATTTTTTTAAAAAAATTAAAAAATTAAACATATATTTTATTTATTTCTTTGTTATTTCAATTATTTTATATTTTTAATAAAATATTTTTACATAATATTCTTTAAAAATAAAACATGCATGTAATATAAATTTTTATTTACCTTTCTTACATGTTTGACTTTATTGGTTCATACAATTTACATATTCTATGTGCACAATTATTTGATATATGAAAAAACTTGTCCTAGACTTTTATGTTAGAAATATAAAACGTGTTCTTTGCAATCCATAATCATAAATTTTTTATTAATAAAAATAACAATTAGAAGATAAAATTACGTTTGATTTCTCTATTTTTTCAAATATAACATGTCTAAGTTTACATCAGATAGGCCTTACATCTATTTTCTAATAAATAAACTATCCATAGATTATTTGATTATTATAGTTCATACTACCATTTAAGATTGATCTTTTTTATACAATAAAATAATAATACTATTAATATATTTATGCTAAGCATAATCCAACTTAAATAGATAAAAAAATAACATTACTCAAATCATGAGTTAATAAAAATAACAATTAAAATTTTTATTTTAGAAATTTTAATATTTAATATCTATCTATCTATATATATATATATATATATAATTGATTTTATTTAAATTTTTTAAATACACAATTTTCTATATTTGTATCCATAAAGTATTTTTTCATTTATACTTTTGAATATATATATATATATATATATATATATATATATATATATGTATAACTTTAAAATATTACAAGATTTATAGTTATGTATAACATTAGTTTCTAATAAATAATTTTATTTCATATGCAAGCAGCTAATGGCATTATCTATTGAAATATATAATTATTTTATTATTTGAATGATGTTCTTATATTTTTATTTGTTATTTATTTATTTATATCACTAATAAAAAAAATATGTTTCTTATTTTTTTCAAGAAACAAGGATAAAAAAAATCAAAAATCAAAAATCAAAAAATAAAAAAAATCAAAGAAATTTTAGTATAAATTTTAAATAATAAGTACCTCTACCAAAAAACAATGTTTTTAAAAAAAATCTTATCTATTGACCTTCTTTAGAATGCATGTATATATATATATATATATATATATATATATATTTATATAATACAAATTTTAAATATGCAATTGATAAAGTAATAATAAGTCTTATGTGCCAAACATCTAAGTTGTAGAATACTTCCATAATAATATTTTAAAGATAAAAATCTTATAAGAGAAGTTTCTATTGCCATGTGGCATATTTAAAAGAATATCAAAAGTTAATTTATACTTACAAAGCTTCATTGATGATTTTTAATAAAGATATTATTTATTAAATATGTCTCTACCTACTTATGGTTCCATCTATTTACATCTACATATTTAAGTAGTATTAATCATCATTACATTTATTGCTCTTTATGAATCAGAATCATATTATGAATAAATTAACAAGCAATAAGATATTACTATACAAATAATGAAGAAAATTCTAGAAAATACTTTTATATATTTGTATAAACAACGTAACATTTCACAACTAGGATAAAGAGTAGCAACAACATCAATATTATTAACTAAATTGTAGAAATTAATAGAAATATTACACTATTTTTTTATAGAAATTTAATAAACACACTTAAATAGATCAATATCATGTTGTAGCTTTTACATTTGTTTTTTAAAAAGTGCACCAACAAAAAAGGAAATTTATTTTCTTTAGAATGAATATAAAATATTATAATTATATAAACAACTTCTATTATAAGAATGTACAAGCAACATATTTTCAAGAAAAGAAAGAAAATCTAAATACATCTTAGTCAAGCTATCTCTTACACCATAATAGAAAAAACCAAGAGTGCAAATGTGTAGAAGAAACCCTAAAGCTTTACTAAATGGCTAAATCACCATAGTCAAGTAAAATCTTACAAATTCAAGCTTTTTTTCACAAAAACCACTCACAAGACTTGACTTGACAACGATGTCAAGTTAAAAGGTTTTTCAACCTAAGTCTTCAAGCCTTAGTTGACACTAACAAGGCCAATTAACAAAAAATGCTAAGTAAATAAAAAAAAATACTAAAACAAATTAAATTACATCTATCCAATAGGACTTGGCACTTAATGTTCATCACATGAGACTCTTTAAAATACAAGTTTTTTTAGACATTTATTTAAAAACATGACAACTAATAAAGTTATTCTTTAAATCTTTCTTACCTATTTTTTCTAATCTTCAACTAGTTATTTTTCTTCTATCTACCTATTGTTTCAAATCATAAAAAATAAATAAATAAATAAAAAATGCCATCTTTTGTTTATTAGTTTATCATTTAAAAAAAAACTTGCATAAATATACTTGTAACAATAAATTTATTATGATCAAGTAAATTTTTGAAGTTTTAAAAGAAACATGTATGATATTTTACAGAATAATTTATAAAAATATTATCATCAACTAATTATAAAATTCAAATTATATTCAATTATAAAATTAATTATAAGTAAAACAATTCTATGTATAATGCAAATTTTAAATAAATTCAAGTCTTTGCAAATCAACATATAGATTCATTAGTATTTTATATTTGATTTTAAATGTTTTTTTTTTCAACAATATGTTTTGGAAAAAATATAAACAAATGCATTAGTAAATATATTTATTATTTTTAATTTTAAGATAGTTATGAACCTAAAACCACAAAAATGATTAAATTAAAATTTGTATAATAATATTTTATTAAATATAGTATTATAAAATCTACAAAAAATAATTTTTTTATTACTAAAATTTGGACTTTGTGTAAATAAGATTAATAGCTATTATAAATTACAATTTATATGTTATAATTTATACATTGGAATTCTAGTTTCATAATAAAAATAAATAAAGTAGTATTGATGCAACTAAATAGTGTAAAAATCATTCTATAATTAAGAATAACTTATTAGTCTTTTCAAATTATATATATATATATATATATGGTGGTTGAATGAGAAAGAGACAATGGAAATAAGTAAATTGCATAAATAATAATACATCTTAAACAAAAATTTGCTGCTACTTAATTGTGAAATTCGTTTATTCTAAAATTGCAATAAATTTAATTATCAAGCATAATTCAAAATTTTACTATCTATATAAATTTTCTTATTTAAAATAAAATAAAAAGTACATAGTTTTTACATGTAATATAATACATGTGTAGAAAAGAATAGAATATATGATATAATATATTTTATTTTTTAGAATTTGAAATTATAAATGAGTAAGTATATATATATATATATATATATTTATATTTACATATGTGTTTATTTTATTTCCATAATTGATTTATTTATTTTATACTTATTTATAATAAAAATATAAAGATGCCTTATTAATAGAATTTCTAAAATATAGTTTTTTTTCAAACTTATCATAATTACGGTGAAAAGCTTATTTGTAATTTTTTAATGGAATGTTAAATAGATTCAAGTTTTTACTACATTTATCCACTCATCTAAACCATCATGAAAAAGAATGATGATTTCTTGATTCATTTCTTTATTATTGGATCTACAACCTATAAAAAGCAACCATGATTACAATATTTTTCATCAAAGGTGGATCTATTTAGTAAAAGCATGGGTCTATTTAACATTCCCCATTTTTTTATTATCATTTGAACAAACTTGTTATTGAATTTGACATACTGTATAACACTTATGATCATTTTGATTATTCTAAGAGTATCTATTTAAAATATTTTTTAATTTCTATTCTAAAGAATATCAAAATAACATTTTTAATATTGACCGTGTAAATAAAATGTACTTTAAATACATAACTTTTTAGTAAATAATGTTAATTTATAGTAGTGTCTATTTTATATAAGATTATATCTTAATTTTATTAAAAAATATAAAATTAATAAACTAAGAATCAATATTACAAATTAACTTTGAAAAAAAAGAAATATGGAGATTGATATAGTAATTATTAGAATTATTTGTCTATTATTATTAATATTATTATTATCTAAACTGTTTATTTTACTGCACTAAGAAATTTTAGCCTATTCTTTTGCTACTACTTTTAATAATTTTATAGGTTGTTTCTTCTTAGTAAAAGAAATTTTTCATGAACAGTAAGATGCAAAAGTAATCTAAAGATAATTTCTGAACCAAGTCGTTTTCATGGTGCATATCTTGAATGTGAGAAAATTGAACCATTTTCTCAACCCACAATGCATGTCATTGCTGCATCCACACTAAAAGAGGAATACTTGACCACTTAAGTGCGACAAAATAATCTCGAGGTGAAACTATAAGTTGAAAATTAGCATCAGTCACAACGATTATGCGTCTCGGTCATAAAGTCACACGATTCACAGGTAAAACTGACAAACATGAAATCTCTCTGGACGTTCAAAAACATGTTCCAGGATAGCAACTAAACAATGTTGATAACGTAAGCCTGACTTATGCAATTATTCTCAAGGTGGAACGGAAATTTTACAACCGATTTTCAAAAGTGTCCTGCACAGGAAATGAGTGTCTATACCGCTTGTACTGCTGGGACTAATCCCAAGGCAGTCTAAAAGCGTAAAACTAGAAATGCAATGCTTACAAACGCTTGATGATTGAACTACTGAGTATTTCCTTGTTTGGCCATGTGCAAAATCAGGTCCACCACACGGTTGCTGCATCATGAAAGTAGAATCAGGAAGCATTAGAAGATGAAATACAAAACGGAACGAAACACTCAATTGAATCAAATCTATGTGATACAGCAGCAACGTATACATACGTCCTTTCTCAAATGTACCACTTTCGGAAATATTAGGTCGAAAACAGAAAACGAATTGAGATCATTAGAATCGAAACATGGAAGAATGAAGATTACTTTACCTGTAACCCCACTCGTTGTCGTACCAAGCGACAAGCTTCACAAAGGTATCACTTAGGGCAATTCCAGCCTTGGCATCGAAGACGCTTGACCTACTGTCGGTAATAAAGTCGGTAGAAACCACATCGTCTTCGGTGTAGCCCAAAATACCTTTCATCGATCCTTCGGATGCTTCCCTGATGTAGGAGGTCCAAATGATTAAGGGAAAATCGTTCATACGCTAGAAATCAACACCAGGTTTAAGATTGAGAACCATATTCGAAACTGCACTGTAGACACCAGTGTATCATGATGTTCTTGCGTCAAATGTACACTAAACTTAGTGAAACGCTAGCAAAACCATGTCACAGATCCGAACGTGAACATATACTCACTTGACGGCTGCCTTGATAGTAGCGTAGGAGGCAGGCTTCTCAAGCCTAACTGTGAGATCCACCACAGAAACATCTGTAGTAGGGACACGGAAGGCCATTCCTGTGAGCTTTCCATTCAGCTCTGGCAACACCTTGCCCACTGCCTTGGCAGCTCCAGTAGCACTAGGGATGATGTTGGCTGCAGCACTGCGTCCACCTCGCCAATCCTTGTTTGAAGGACCATCGACAGTCTTCTGTGTGGCTGCAAGTGAAAAATAGACAAAGAGATATGCACTGAAATTCTGAATCTACATAATGTCTTTCAGAGGCTGATTCAACAATCTAACAGTAAGAAACATATGAATCTAAAAAAAAACACTACAACTTTCCAAAATAAATACATCATATTAGGAATTCGATAAATTACCTGTGGTAGCGTGCACCGTGGTCATAAGACCTTCCAGAATTCCGAACTTATCATTGATTACCTGGTTTCAAAAACGAACTAGACAGTAAACAACATAAATCTGACGAGGTCAATATTAATATTCATCTAGGTAACAAGATGAAAGGGCCAGGTATCAGAACTATTTAAACAGAGGGTAAAGTGCAACCACCTCAACCGAAGCGAAACACTCAAAAACTTGCCCGAAAGATACCAACAGTCAAAATGCAGTACACGCAGATAAGTAAGAAAATGATAGCCAGTACCTTTGCAAGTGGCGCAAGACAATTGGTAGTGCAGCTAGCGTTAGAGACAATGTCCTCATTGGCATACTTTTCCTCATTGACGCCCATAACGAACATGGGAGCATCCTTGCTGGGAGCAGAAATCACAACCTTCTTGGCTCCACCCTAAACAAACCATCACTATGAATACAGCGTTCTCATAGTTCTCTGTTTCGAAGAGACTTAAATATAGAAGAATCATCTTCCCTACCATTGCAATGTCTGATACCCTACGAGAATTTTTGCTCCATCATTATCTTGATCTACAGAACCAGCTGATTTGTCAATTCTGAAAACTGATGTCAAGACACACTCAGTGTTAAAAAAAAGAACAATCCTGTGAGATGCCAAAAATAGGGTGAATCATTTACTTCGAAAGAAAAAACGGATTGCTTGCAGAAGAGCATCGTCACATTTTACCTTGAAATGGGCAGCAGCCTTCTCCTTGTCAGTGAAGACACCAGTAGACTCCACAACAAACTCAGCTCCATGCTTACCCCACGGGATTTCAGAAGGGTCCCTAGCCGTATAATAAAGAGAGAGTAGCATATTAAGCAGGCAATTCCTTGCAATCGTTTAAATGACAACATACTGTTGCTCAGAAATAAACGGGTGGAAAAAAAGAATTTGATAATCCATCCTACCTGCAAGCGTAGACAGCTACTGGATTACCGCCAAACGTCAAGTGACCTTCAGAGTGAAGAGTCACTTCAGACTTCTTCCACTGTCCGTGTGTGCTGTCATATTTGAACATGTATGCCTGATACAAGCAATTCATCATGGAATTCGGAGTCAGTATACAGCGTAACACACATGCCCAAGAATGTAAGCAGAATAAAACATCAGACTACAAATGATGCTCTGTGACATGACAGATGCTGAACTGGAAACCATGAATCAACATCGACAAAATTGAAGTGTCGGTATACATAGTCAATCTTTGTGGATTTGACATCAGAAGGTAGATTACCATGTATTCGGGGGTAATGAATGGGTCGTTTATGGCTACCAACTCAATGTCATCGCGCTCAAGGGCAACTCGAGCCACCAATCGGCCAATACGACCAAATCCTGAAAGAAAACACATCTCTTATCTATCAAGACGCTGTTCAACCCATGCTTCAGGTCTTCGAAGATGAAGGTACTGCACTGAAGTTTGAGAAAATGTCCAGACGTACCATTAATTCCAATCTTGATCTTCGCTGATCCCACTGTTGGGAGCCCACAAAACCACTCTTTCAGTAAACGTATGCCACAGTTCATAGACGCAACTGATTTGTTTCGTGACAAATGGATCTCAAATGACAGAAAAAAAGCGGCACAAACAGGCTACAAGAGAGCTCTGTGGGGAAGTCATATAGCTAGGTCATTCCTAAAGAAATGGAAAATCTTGGTCTTGCAAGTGTACAATACTAATAAACTCACCCATGATTAATAGCTTCTGAAGACGTTCCTCCCAAATCTGCGCAACACAACACAGCTTGATCTTGTTATTTTCGCTGCAAAGTCAAGGTTGGATTTCTTTATTTCATTGGCCGTTGTCACAAGAAAAAAATCCTGCGCTCTACGAAGTAATAAAGAGGCGCCGAATCGACTGCTAAACAAAACGGGGATGAAAATAAGATCTGCGATTTCAGAACTAATGAGTACTCAAAGTACGCCCCTCGGATGACGAAAGATAGTGGACTGACTCGCCTGTTGTAGACAATTCAACCAACTCTCTAACAACGCGAGCGGGTAGATAGAGGAAAGGAATATACTAACACTAACTAGTCAGCAAGATCGACGTAGAGCAATGTCGAAGCATGCACACATAAAACTTGCCGACAATCCACGGGAAGCTTCAAGTTTCCGAACATCGAGCTCCCAAACACTTCATTAATACCCGAAACAGAAAAAACAAAGACCTAGCAAACCAATAGAATAACGAAACCCGCTCCAGGATTGCATCCCATCTATACGACAAACGAGACCATCCAGATATCCAGAAAACAAAGCCCTATCGAAGCCCACCTCACTCCGAAGCCTCCAACGCGATCGTCGCTTGCTAAATTTCTATTGGGAAAACAAGATAGGCGAACTGGGAGGCGGATGAGGAAGCATATATGGAGGGCTATCGTGGTGTCGTTGGAGATACATGCATGTACGAATGTGACGAAACTGTGTGGAGAGTGCGCTCGCCTTGGAGGAGACGCTCCTCGATCCCTGCACGGCTTCGTGTGCTGAGCGTGCCGCGGCGTCGGCCTGGGTTCGTGCGGAGAGTTCGCTGAACCTGAGACCCGGGTCATACACCCTCCCAAATCCGTCTCCTACTTTTCGTATTTGCCCCTTGGCTACTTGTTCATCGCAGATAAAGCCTCAAAAAACAATGCAACTCGAATCCCATGGTGTCGATTGAATGCTCCTGGGAGGCATTGGAGCACTGTTGTACCTTTTTTTCTATTTTTTCTGCTTAGGTTTTCGTGAATATTGTTAGCTTAACTGAACCTCGGCCATGATGTGTTGAGCTCTAGGTTTGGATAGAAATGGGAGCATGATTCGTTGATGAAGATCATAAAAAAATAGTGTCTAAGAAGTGGAACAGGTACAACAGAAAATAAAAAAACAAAAATAACCAACTACAATTTGAAGTAAGCTTAAATTACACGACCCGTTATGTCAAGATTTGCAGTAAATATATAGTTGTATGACTTGTTTGACGTTCTAACTGTTCATCTAACTTTTAACGCATGTAATGCACCCTATCAAACTTTGTGATCAGTGTAAGGTCGGGAATCCACTTTCGCAGAGGATCAACAAAACAAAATAAATTAAAACAAGAAAGTATTATTTTGAGTATTGAGTTGTTCGAGTTTTTCTCAGCATGAAACTGAAACAGATGGTTACTAATACCGCAAGTAATGTTGTTCCAGTTGGTATGCTTTTCCGTCTTTCTTTTAACTCTTTTTTTAAATTTCTTTGAGTGCGTTTAGTGTTGACAACACATTTCCTTGGTTGCTCTACTCTGACACCATCCAATGATATTTCCAGAACATGAAGAAGGTTCTGTGATGACAAGATTCTCTTTCAGCCTCCGACTTCTCCTGACGCCCATCCTCCGAAAATCCAACTCCTCCCACGTAATGGTATTTTCATAGTATTTCAATTCGTGACTAGATAAGTGTAACCGATACAGTACAGTCATGGTTGTTCCAACTGGCTTGACCAAACCAAAATTGAAGGAAATGACGGTGAATGAGCTAATCGAAGAGACTGTTTACTGTGCTGGTCCTTTCCTGCCAACAACAATGAATTTTGAGCTTAATCGGAGAAAAGATGCTCTGACTAATACGATTATCTAGTGGTCCACTGCTTTGTCGCGGTGGTTGCCTGAAGCTTAATATAGATCCCATCAACTGTCCGGGAAGAAGATCCTTTGAATATCCCCTACATTCCCAACGAAGCCGCAAAAGGACATCGGCATTGGAATGCATGAAACCCAGATATTCCTGGTGAGAGCCATGGCAAGCTGCGTGGGTGTCAGAGCACTTCATTACGACACTTTTCTGACTCATCGTAGGAATGGCACAGTGAGCAAGAAGGTGCCGCAGCGCGGTGATGACTAGATTAAATTGGAATCACACCCAAATGATTTGTTCTGTAGATTGGCGAATCCAAGGCATGATGCATTTGCTTCCGAGGGGCTTGCTTTTTCCTAACACGGCATCCGAGGAGCATTCCAAAGTACATCTACACAACTCGTCCTTCGGGTCATCTGCTGTGAGTTTTGTAACTTTTTTGGAACTGGGTTAGATCTTACGGTTTCAGAATCCTCTCTCATTTTATACTTCGTGCTGTTCCTGTGGACATGTTGGTATATGGACTGAGCTGTTGTTTAAAGTAGCCGCAGTTTAATATCAGGTAAACTGTCGATGAAACGATCGGTGGTTGGAGCAGATGAGTTTGCTGTGCATGTTGTGTCCGGTCCCGGCAACTTGAGCTATTCGGCAAACTTTGGAATGCAACAGGCGGACACATTCATTCATGTGCACAAGGAAGACCCAAGGGTTAACCCGGATCTCTCTCTTCTCGGATTCCTGCTGCTAGTTTGCAAGAGTCTGTACAAACACAATCTCTCATGTGGTGTTGAAAGTGTCCTTTGGATCGTTGCAATCTTGTGGGTCAACGTGACATGAATAAGCACCGTGAATAGCTCCGACTCGAATTGAGGCTTGCATCTAATGCCGCCGGATAGCTGGCCATCACATACACGACAATCTTGTGGTATCTTAGTTTCGTCTAAACTCTGTCCCCTGAATTTTTTTTAATTTGTTTTTATTTTTGTTATTTTTGAAGGTACACACAGTAGGGTATTCACACTGAACAGATTCAATTAGAAAAAACATTTACATAGAAACTTAGATCTAGTAGCTAAGATGAGAGGAAAATCTAATATATTAAGAGTTTATTTTACAAAAACAAAACACGATTAGTTTTGTTCTTATCGACAATGATTAGATTGCAAATAAAAATTACGATTGGTTTTATTTCATCGTGAATTATTATGTTGTTTCATCATTGTGAAACTCTTAAGTTCTATCAATTTTGTAATGCATGTTCTAATTTTTAGCATTTATTTACTTATTTATTTGTAATGCATGATTTGTCTCATCTTCCAAAAATTATGTTACAATCATTTTTTTGAATGTTTTAAAATGTGTACAAAACATCATGTTGTAAGAATTGATATTGGTAGTTTGGACTTATATTTAGACATTTATTTGAACTTAATTCCAAAGATTAATGGTGAAAATTAAAAGTTGTATTCAACTTTTATTTGCTAAAAAAATTAAGGAATGCTTGAAGGAGTTTTATTTATTTTTTATAATATCTATAAATTTATTTTTATAAAAAAAATCAAATGATTAATATCAAAGTTCTTTTAATGTCATACTTTTTTCTATCAATAGTTATATTGATACTCTTTTTATTTTTTAATTTTTTATCCTCTTTTGCAAAATATACCAGCTTGTACATAGCAAGCAATAAATGTTTACTCATTATTTGATTTATATTATTTTTTATTATGTATTCTTAAGTATGTATATGTATATATATATATATATATATATATATATAATCATATTTCTACATTATTTAAAATCATTGAAATCATCCGATGTGTTTCAGAAATTAATTAGAAAACATGCTTTAGAGTTTTCTAGATTGTCTACAATGCCATGATTTAACAAATCCTTCTAATTGGATAACTCTTGTTGTTGCAACAAACTCTTCCAGGTACAACCTACAAGGCTTATATTGTTTAAAGAGCCTGTATGCAAAGCTAACACATTTACATGTGTCTGTTGCATTCAATAAAGTAGTACAAACATCACGCTATCCGATATAATTTTATGTAAAGAACTCTATAACAGACAGAAGACTGGGTGTGGATGCGAATTGTTGATGCGGTGTTTTGTGTGGCGAGCAGCCAATTTGGCCTTTGGGATCCACGACAGCACATTACATTGCAGTAGTTGTGGCGTCGACACCCACGCCTCACTTCAAAGACCAAACCCGGTCGCCAGGTGTGACACCCCTGGCACAACGCTTGGAAGCTTGGAGCCCCTTGCAGATCGTGCCATGTGGCCTGCGTCATATACCGTTTCGCTTGTAGGGAGTGTTGGATCAGCACACCCCGTCGTGAAGGAGTGGAAGAATTTTTGCACCCAGCATCGAGTAGTTTTAACTTGGTTGATCGGCATATCGAATTTGTGTAAACTGATGAGTTGAAGGAGAAGATCAGCACTGATTTTGAGAAGGAGGGTTGGAAGAAGAGGAAGGAAAGCCGGGCAGAGAGTGAGTCGTTTGGTTTTGTGAACCGGAGAGATTAGGACGTGTGGCGAGGTCGAAGTTTCAAACAGAAATGGCATCGAGCGGGGCTAACTCCATGAAGGAAGACACCTTTAAACCTGTTCAAAATTCTCAGGTGGGTCTTCTCCGTGGCAACCGAATTTGAATTTTAAACGAATGTGGGCGTGAACTTCGATGGAGCAACTCCTCGCTTGATCTCTTGTTGCGAGAGACGATCTCAGTTTGCATTCTGTGAAGCGACTTGAGGCAGCTGCTCTTGTCGCTGAAATTTCTGTTCTCCGTGTTACTAGCTTCCATCACTTGCATGTGGGTTTGTGACCTAATACATTTCACGTCAATTGATCAGAATGTGTCTTTTCTCTGGGGTTTCTCTCAGGGCATAGAACACGTTCTTGCGGTTTTGAGGTTCAGTCGTAAGAGCCCGAAGTGACTGCGATCCTGACACATGAACCTGGTTGTGATGGAGACAGGCCACAGTTGCTAGAAACGAATCCCATGACAAAGTGGAAGACGCCTCAACACCTGCGGAAGCGGTGAAAGCTCCGGGACTTGCGCAACGGGCCGTAGAGGAAGTGCAAGCCATAGCTAGCGAATTGTGGGTGGCGGTCACACCGTCTAAGAAGTGAAAAGGTCCTCGCTAGTGTTTAACGGAAAATTGACTGCGAAGAGCTCCGAAGCAGACTTGCTACAACTCTAGTGTGTAATAAGATTACTGTGTAGCGGTAAGATGTCATTCTTGTCCTAGTTGCTTTATCCTTATTTATATCAGTTGAATCTAAAGCTCCATGAAAGACACAGAAGTGTTCCGAGCACGGGTGTTAAACACAACCAAATCCGACGACTAAGTCCCTGCGGCATTGCCTCGGAAGACATGAAATTTAAGCTCTGAGAAACCCTAATTGCTTCCGAACGATAGTTAGATTATTGTTCATTATGTAACCATTTTCTTACTGTGGAATTGCTTTTGATCCGCAGTTAAATAGACATGAAATCAGTAATTTTCATAATGCAACAAATTAGATTTAGCATGTGCAAGATCTTGAAATAGATTGTGAGTGGATTGTTGCATGTTGCAAATCTTGCATAGAGTCATAATGCTAATAAGTATTACAAGTGAATAGGAAAGCACACATTGCTGCAAGGTATACAATACACAAAGTTCTTCTTGTACATTGTCCTTCCAATGGACATTAATCAATATTTTGCATGCTGCAATAACTTTACTTGTTCTATATACAGAGATTTGTACAATCAAATAGATAGTCTTCTAAATGCAGGTAAAACTTCCAAGTTTGCTTAGTTGTATATTTTGAATCTGTGAGCTGAGTTGAAGGATAAGTATGTAATAACCATTGAATAACAATCCAAAAAATTTACAAATTAATACAACTAAATACCATGAAAATCCTTAAAAAATAACCATAAAATCCACAATTTAGATGTCAAAATTTGCTAGTCTAGAATGTAATATAATAGAAGTTTTGTAGAGCATATTCTATACTTACAATCCAAATGCGCAATTATTGGTAATAGTAGCCAAAGGTTAAATGGAACTATAGAAGATATTGGTATTTGGCATGTAGTGGCTCAATAAAAAGACACCTAATAGTACAATGCACCATTGTGGATGAAGTTGGTTCAATTATAATAGAAAATAATAGCAATGTGAGTTCCAATAAAGAAGACATCATTATCAAAATTATTGATGGAGATCTCTATCATATTTCTATATTGCATCCATTTTATTTATCTCTTTGATACATGCTTCTATTTCCATGTAGGCAAGTCATAAAATTTTGAAATACCTTTGAATAGATTTCAAAAAGATCAAAGCACATTTATGATTAAGAATAGAAACATTGTACCAGATCAAGATAGTTCTAAGTATATAACTTAATTGCAATTCTATACTTACATGCTTTAAATGTAAGCATGTGAAACAAAATTATATTATATCTTAATATTTGTTATGCCTTTGCATATGAAGCAACATGCCACTTGAATAATTTTGAGGTATATGGTAAACTTTCATCTATTTTATAATTCTAAATCTTCTTATCTAATCAATAATTACTTATATTAAATATAAATAAATATATTAAATAAACTTTGACTTGTGAAGGTCTAAAAAAAATAATACTAAATGATTATATTGAAGGTGATATTGGAAGCTTTAGAAGTATTCTATAGAATTTTTTTGATATAGTTTACGTGGAATAATAGTATAATAGGACATTTGTATTGTTGACACATAGAGATAGGTAGTTGAAGGCATTTTTGAAAAGTTTTTAGAATTGAGGCTAGATTGGTGGTCCATTTGGGATCTACTATGGAATATTTTAGAAAAGCCTAGGATAGTTATTTACATAGGATCCACCTCTAAAACATTCAAGAAGGGCTTAAGGTAGTTATTTAGATAGGGTCCACCTCTAAAACATTTTAGAAGGACTTAGGGTAGTTATTTAAATAGAGCCCACTTCTAGAATATTTCTAAAAGAGGTAATTATCTTAGTGAGGCTACCATTAGAAACTTTCTAAAAAGTTCAAGGATGGTTGGATAAAGTGTAAATAGAATTAGTTAAGGCCATATGGATATTTGATCAAATATGGCTTTGATTTCTTTTTTTCAAAAAATTTTGATTTATATTTTTTTGTTTTATTTTGTTTTGCTTTGTTTTGCTTTTTATTGTTTCATTTTTTTTTTTTTTTTTGATCTGCTCTATCCTACATGGTGATGGAATTTATGTTGTTGTAGATTGATAGGATTTTAGATCTTATAGAGAGTTTAGTCTCATTTCATTGATATTAAAGCGAATATTAATTTATTCTTTGATAGTGTATTTATAGCCACCATCAAGTTAGAGATTAATTATTATCGTCACACTAGGTATTTTTTTGGAACTACTATGAACTACTTTTAAGAAGTTCAACCATCTTACTTAGAGATGTAGGATTATATGCCAAATTGAAAAAGTGCGTATTCCACACTACTCAAGTTGACATTTTAGGGTACATCATTTCTAACAAAGGCCTTATAATGGATCCCAAGAAGGTTGAAACTATCATAAATTAGAAGATTCCAAAAACAATATGAGACATGTAATACTTTTTGTGCTTTGCTAATTATTATCGAATCTTCATCAACAAAATTTCTCATGTTGCAGCTCCACTTACACGTTTGACTTGTAAAGACAAACTCGAGTGGAATAAAGAAGCAATAGCATTATTTGATGCTTTAAAGAAAGAATTTATTTTTTTACCAATCTTATATTGTGTTGACTTCTCTAAGGCATTTTTTATGGAAACAAATGCATTTGATTTTGCTATAAGTGTTGTTTTCTCACAAATAGAAACAGATGACAAATTCCACCCAATAGATTTCTATTTGAAGAAATTTTCAGCAGCCGAGATTAATTCTGAGATCCATGACAAAGAGCTTCTTGCAATTGTGGATTCATTTCAAGAATGGCGTCATTATCTAGAAGGCACCTCAAGTCTAGTTACCATTGTCGTATAGCATGATTTGCTATTTGGGAATATATTGGGTATCTAACTGTAGAGATTTTAGCTTAAACTTTTATATGAATTTTTTCTTAGCTTCCAAAATTCCTTTAATTTGCATAAAACTAAAAATATAACAAAATCCGTTCAAAACATATTTTATTTGTAATGGATTTTTTCTTTCCAAACTTTAAAAATTCATAATTCTTGATCTAGTTGTTTAATTTATTTCAAATTTATAAGATAGGTAGAATTCACCCTTAAATTTTATCACAATAAAACCAACCATAAATTCACTTCCAATCTTTTGGAATCGAAGAAATCCTAGCAGATGCTCTAAACCCTAATTTACGAGCACCCAAGCACTATTTTCTTAACATCTCAAGAATCCAATACTCAAATGCCATCAAACTTATATACAAAGTTTTAATAGCATGAATATACACATTTTTTTGAAGTTTTGAGCCAAAACCTTGTCAAATTGCTCAAGATATAACTCAAGACACAACCACTAGTAAATTGGGTCATTGACTACCCTTAGATTGCATGTGCTAACTTCAAAATCTAATAACTCCTTTATTTCAACTTAGAATCCAATAAGCAATATGCAAAAAGTGTAGCTGCAAAAGTGCTCTCTCTAGTCGCAACTGTCGATCTTCAATTGCCATCCTTACGTGTGCGTTATGTCTAAAATAGTGATAGTAGCTCCCAAATCAATACTTTAACTTTGAGCGCCTATATCTCTTTCATATAAATTCCAAATCATACAAGATTTGCACCAAAACCATAGCCAAAAAACTAAACTTGCTAACCCTAGCCTTAAAAGCTTGAATGGGTCCTAAAAACTAATCCTAATCTCTAATATGGCCTCGGGCAACCTCCTCGAAGTCCATTGGTCATGATTTTTGACCAATAGGAATGGAGATTTTCATCATCCATCTCCATTCATCTATATGGATGCCTTAAACTCTCTTTTAACTACCAAAATCCCTCTCTAACTCTTTTCTTTACAAGATTTACTCAATATATGTCATAAATATCAAATTAAAGAATCAAAATAAGACTTCAAGGATCACCATTCTCTAATAAAGATGACTTTGAATATTTAAAATTACTACCAACAAAATCAATCTCAAAAGCTACTATCAAAAGAAAATAAAGTCATACAAATTCTAATAGTAATCTTTTTAAACAACCTCCTTTTAAAGTAGTAATTAAACCACATTCTACAACCAACTAAAATCGAATAATATGGCTCTCACTATGTTATTAAGTAAATTATACATTAAATAGATAATCACATTATTTTTATATGGTAGCTAAATCACAACACAACATTGTTGTCGTGTTGTGATTTGGTTATTATATGAATATAATGTAATTATGTACTTAATATATAATTTATTAAGTAACATTGTGAGAGCTATGTTAGTAGATTCTAGTTGGTTGTAGAATATAATTTGATTATTACCTTGAAAAGAGGTTGTTTAAAAAGATTACTATAGAATTTTCATAACTTTAATTTTCTTTTTGATAGTGGGTTTTAAGATTGGTTTGGGTATATAGTAACTTCTAAATATTTAGAGTCACCTTTGTTAAACATTGGTGACATTTGAAAACTTATTTTTATTCTTTTATTTGGTATTTAGAATATAAATTATGTAAATCTTATAAGAAAAAGGATTGAAGAAGGGTTTTGATAACAAAGGGAGTAATTAGGGCACCAATATAGATGAATGGAGATGGATGATGAAAATCTCCATTCCTATTGGTCAAAAATCATGACCAATGGGCTTTGAGGAGGCTGCCCGAGGCCATATTAGGGATTAGGGTTAGTTTTTTGCACCCATTTGAGCTTTGAAGGCTAAGATCACCAAGTTTAGGTTTTTGGCTATAGTTTTGGTGCAAGTTTTGTATGATTTGGAGTTTATATAAAGGAGATATAGGCACTCAAAGTTAAGGTATTGATTTAGGAGCTACTATCACTCTTTTTTGCATAACGCATGCGTACGGAGGACGATTGAATATCGGTGACCAGGATTGAAGAGAGCACTTTTGCAGCTTTAGTTTTGCATACTATATTTTGGATTCTAAGTTGGAATAAAGGAAGTATTGAATTTTGAAGTCAATGCATGCAATCTAAGGATAGTAAGTGACCCAATTTACTAGTGGTTGTGTCTTGAGCTATATCTTGAGAAATTTGGCAAGATTTTGGCTCAAAATTTCAAGAAATGTGTAAATTTATGTAAGTAAATTTTTTACATAAGTTTGATGATATTTGAGTAATGGATTCTTGAGATATTAAGAAAAAAGTGCTTGGGTGCTTGTAAATTAGGGTTTAGAGCATCTGCTAGGGTTTCTTAGATGCCAAAAGATCGAAAGTGAATTTGTAGTTGATTTCTTCTATGATAAAATCTAAGGATAAATTTTACCTATCTTATAAGTTTTAAACAATTTGAACGGTTAGATCAAGAGTTATGAATTTCTAAAGTTCAAGAAGAAAAAACCCTTTGCAGGAAAAATATAT